GGTATCGAGATGAGGAGCTTCCATGGCTTCTCGAAGCCCTTTACATTCACCTCCAGGACCAGCAAGCCCGGCTTGCATACACGTTCCGTGTTCAAGAGCACGTAGCTTTTCGGGGCTGGGCCTGCTGACCTTTGCCTCCCTGAGGTTTAACATAACTCAGTCCTTTCCCAGTAGGTCGCCGCGCGCCTACTGAATACGGATGCACACGGAGACGGTCACTGTGACCGCCTCCGGATGGGGATCTGCTGCCATCCCGGCAATGAGAAAGCGCATCTCTTGGACAAAGTCCACCAACTCCTTGTTGCTCTATCGAACCAAGGAAACGCGATTGCACGCTATACACCTGGCTAGGTGGCGAGAACACTCGTGAGAGCTGCAGCTTCAGCGCCGCACGTCAGTGCCCATTCTCGCGCTCGACCACCGAGCTTTAAGATGGCTAGCGCCACGCGCTGTTGCTGGGTCTGGAGCATGGCGGATGCGATGGCCATCTCGACCTCTCTCACCCAGAGCAGGAGGTTCTCTCCATCTTTTTCCTCAGAGACCTTAACGCTCACCATGAGCGGCTTAGGGCGGGGAAGTCATCCGTCACTGACGGTGGCGTCATAGACGCAAATGATGAAGACATATGCTGCTGCAGGTTATCTAGCAGCGCTTTTTGTAATTTGAAAACGCCTTCAGACGCGCACCGATTGCCTCGGGGCCTTGCGCAGCAAGGTGCTGCACGCCCTTAGGGCCCAGCAAGGACATTAGCTTGTTAAGCCGTCCTGCATGCCCTGGGGCAAAGAGGAAAATTGTTCCATCCTCACTCCTCACAGAGGATCAGTCTAAACGACTAAGGTCTAGATTGACTACAAGTGCTACCAAGTGCAGCGGGGCTGCCGTAGCTTTGCGCTTAGAGAAGCGTAATTTCAGGTCACCGTTCTACTGTTCTTTACAAGAACCAATACGAGTGTAGCGGATCGCAATCCCCTACCTCCAAGAGTAGTCAGTACCTTAACAAAGGCTAATAAACTCTTTGGTTTAAACTCAAAACTGATTTATTATTTATTTTTATCTGCGACAAACGCCTAATTTTAAATATATAGATCTTCCTAAATATGTATAGTAAAATCAAAATACTTGTATAACTACTGGCTATCCAGCCCCGTACCGTATTCTTGTTTGGGTGTGGTCACACCATGCCTATCTGGTGTGACACACCCCTGTTACCAGGTATGTGTGACCCCGTTACAGGGGCTGCCGTAGCTCTTTGCTTAGAGGAAGCTTACTAAGATTACTGACCTTACGTTCTATACTAAATTAGTATGAGTGTACTTCCAAGAGTACCCGAATCCTTAATCCAAGGCAGATACACTTTTCCTTCAAAATTTAAACTCTATTTGTTTTATTTTCAGCAAAGCCGCCTGTATCTAATTCTCTTGGTTTTCCTAATCAAATAGTGAAACCTTACCGAAATGCATAACTACTGGCTGTCTCGCCACATCTTGTTACAGTGTAGCCAGACCATTGTGCGATTACACCGTCTTGTGTAATCCACACCTTTGTACGGGCACTCACTCGTGTGTGACCCAATCTTGTATACCAGGGTACGTGTAACCCCGTTTCATGGTGATTTTTGTGTACCTAGTTCATACAATTTGGAAGTATAATTGTACGAATTTTCGCTGTACTTTTGTGAAATTGGGAGTGTTTACAAGTGTCGAGGTATTGGTATTTATGAAGAAAAAGGAGGGGTCCGTGGTACAAGTTGGTCTAGATCGATTAAACTTAGACAGCTTTATTTCAAGAGAGTACCTTGTATATAGTTAGCATTATTCTGATAAGCAGTAAAACTCAACATATATCGTCTTGAAATAGCACAGCTAACTTGACTCTTAGTTACAGTGAAGGCTCTAAGTTGCGCTTCTGTTAGGAGCACACAGACCCAGCATCTGTACGTTTGTTAACGCGAGCTTTTAGAGCCAAAGCTTTGTTGTGCAAAGTGCACGGCAACTTTGTTGCAAAGCTGCCCCACGAATTTTTAGAAATTCTCAAAAGCTTTGCCCGATTTGCTAAACTGAAATCTTCCACTAACACCATTTTATGTGAATTACTAGCAGTAAAATGTTATTATTTAGACAAACATCGACCAATCGCTGGTGCCCCCCGAACAACGATCTTGCCCTTCCGCTTTGTAGGTTGTTCTGATGGCGGAAGAGGTTGCGCGTTCGCGACAGTATGCGTACCAGCAGAACTCCAATCTGGTACTACAGGCCGACAGTGAGTCGCGCAGACGGCCTGATGAACCAACAGGCGAGGTGGAGTCGCTTGCTGGCAAAATAAATTACCGCATGGGCGACCGCGCCCAGAAAGCCACACCACAGACCAGTCGAAAGCGAAACAGAGGCGACACAGATGTGAATACCACGCAAAAGACGAAAAAGCGACGAGGCGATGCGAACGATAGAGGAAGCGGCATCCTATATACGGCGATGGACGGTCAAACCGTTGCCAAGAGTAATATCTTAAAGGAAAGTTCGGCGTTTGAGTCGGCTGCGTACAGACCAAAAAATCCTGCTAGCCAAGACGCGTACGAGCAGATATTGGGTGTCGTGGCTCAACAGCTTGGTGCCCAACCAGGCGAGATTCTGGCCGGCGCGGCGGAAGAAGTTTTATTTATTTTGAAGAACGACAATTACAAAGACGATGAGAAACACAAGGAAGTGCAAAAATTGCTGAACACCATCCCAACACATAAGTTCAGTCTGCTAGTGGCTGCAGGCAAGCGAATCACAGACTTTTTTTCGGGAAATGAGGAGAAGAAAGCAAGTAAAGATGAAGGAGAAGACTCAGCCGCTCTAGAAAGTGACGAAGAAGTAGACAAAGAGATGGGAGTGGCCGTAGTCTTCGACGACGAAGAGGAAGAGGAAGAGTCGGATTTAGACGAAATTCCTGATGAGGAAGACGATGAAGAAGAAGAAATCACAGCTGAAGGACGCGAAGCGATGAAAATAAAGGACGGCTACGACAATGAAGACGATGAGGACGCTAAGTATCGAATGGATGTGCAAACTATAGATGCGTTTTGGCTCCAGCGTGAGCTCTCCAAGTTTTATAAGGATGCTGAGGTCAGCTCCAAGCTGTCGGAAGAGGTGCTGACTATTTTGAAGGATTCTGGAGGGGACCTTAGTGCCTGCGAGAACCGGTTGGTTTTGCTTCTAGATTACGACAAATTTGATTTTATCAAGTTGTTACTCGAAAATCGAGCCAAGGTGCTTTACTGTACGAAACTGAAACAGGCGCAAAACGATGAAGAGCGTCGCAGAATTGAAGAAGAGATGGTCGTTGACGAGACGCTTTATGACGGTGAAGGACAGACAATTCTGAATCAATTGCGCACGACAGCGTCGGCTGACTCGTGGATGCAGGATCGAATGGGTGCCATGGAAACAACATCTCGCGCCGAGGCCAACAAGCTGCGTAAGCTTCAACAAAAGCCCGGTGTGCAGCGCGATCAGGCTTGTGGTGACGAGTTAGAAAATGATGTAGACATGGACGGCGTGTCTAGCGATGCTTTAACAAAAGAAGGAATAAATGCAGAGACAAACAAACCGCAACACTATGTTGATGTTGAATCACTTGCCTTTCAAGAAGGTGGCCATTTGATGAGTAATCGTGAGTGCCGTCTTCCGGAAGGTACGTGGCGCGCACAAAAGAAGGGATATGAAGAAGTCCACGTTCCTGCCGTTCGCACAAAACTGTCTGCAGCTGAAGAGAAGACGCGTATAAAAATCTCGACGCTTCCCAAATGGGCTCATGACGCGTTTAAAGGCATGGATTCGTTAAACCGCGTGCAATCAAAGATGTTTCCCGTAGCTTTCGAATCGAGTGAAAATTTGCTTTTGTGTGCTCCGACAGGTGCTGGTAAAACAAATGTTGCCATGCTAACGATTTTGCATGAGATTATGAAGGCTCGTGATCCAGAGACCGGTGAGATCGACCTGAATTCGTTTAAGATTGTATACGTGGCTCCCATGAAAGCCTTGGTGCAAGAAGTGGTGCTTAACCTTTCTGCGCGATTGTCAAGCGCATATAACATGCAAGTGCGAGAATTGTCGGGTGATCAGAACTTATCCCGAGAGCAATTGTTTGACACTCAAATTATCGTTACTACGCCCGAAAAGTGGGATATAATCACCCGAAAGTCCGGGGATGATCGAACATACACTCAGCTCGTGCGCTTAATAATCATTGATGAAATTCACCTGCTTCACGACACTCGTGGCCCCGTGTTAGAAGCATTAGTCGCGCGCACGATTCGAAATGTGGAAATAACTCAGCAAATGGTACGTCTGGTGGGGTTGTCGGCTACGCTGCCAAACTATGAAGACGTTGCAGCATTTCTTCGCGTGGACCCTGCGAAGGGACTGTTCTACTTTGATTCAAGTTACCGTCCTGTACCTCTGCAACAGCAGTATATTGGTATCATAGAGAAGAAGGCAGTCAAGCGATTTGTATTGATGAACGCAATCTGCTACGACAAGGTTCTGGAACAAGCAGAGTTAGATAATCAAGTGCTTATTTTCGTACATTCTCGAAAAGAGACTGCGTCGACAGCTCAGGCCTTGCGAGATTTGTTTGTGGAGAATGACACACTTGCCCGTCTGATCAAACCAAATTCGGCATCCAGCGAAGTTCTCTTACAGGAAGCTGAAAAGATTGAGCGCAATGATGATCTCAAGGACCTTCTTCCGTATGGATTCGGTATCCACCACGCTGGCATGAAGCGACAGGACCGTTCATTAGTGGAAAATACGTTTGCTGACGGTCATTTAAAGGTACTGGTCAGTACGTCAACGCTAGCGTGGGGTATTAATCTACCGGCGCACACGGTAATAATTAAGGGCACGCAAGTTTACAATGCTGAAAAGGGTGATTGGTGTGAGCTTAGTCCATTGGACATTTTGCAGATGCTGGGTCGTGCCGGTCGCGTTCAATTTGACACGCAAGGAGAGGGCATCATTATTACACAACACTCGCATTTGACCTACTACTTGTCACTGATGAACCAGCAGCTTCCAGTCGAATCACAAATGATGGGCAAGCTAGCTGACAATTTGAACGCTGAGATTGTAGTCGGTAGCGTGCAGAATGTGACACAAGCAGCAACGTGGCTGGGGTATACCTATTTGTTCATCAGAATGCTGCGTAACCCAACACTTTACGGCATCTCCATTGATTTCCGCAATACTGATCCAACACTTCTGCAGTACCGTATAGACTTAGTTCACTCTGCGGCAACGTTGTTGGCAAAGCACAACTTAATCAAGTACGAACGACGCTCAGGATTGTTCCAGACAACCGCCCTCGGTCGTGTGGCCAGTCATTACTACATTGCACACGACTCGATCAGCACTTACAACGAGTATCTCAAACCGCACATGTCAGACATTGAGATTTTGCGGCTTTTCTCGCTCTCGAATGAGTTTAAGTATGTGATCGTCCGATCAGAAGAAAAGCTAGAGCTTGTGAAGCTACTGGAACGTGTGCCTGTACCTGTAAAGGAGTCGTTGATGTCTTCTGCCCTTGGCAATGTGGTTGCTGGAAGTGGTTCGGCCAAGGTGAACGTTTTGCTGCAAGCTTACATTTCGCGTCTGAAGCTGGATGGATTTGCTCTTTTGGCGGACATGGCTCACATACATCAATCAGCAGCGCGTATTTTCCGAGCACTATTTGAAATTTGTTTAAATCGAAGCTGGGCATCGCTGGCCGAGCGAATGCTTAGCTTCTGCAAAATGGTAGACAAACGTATGTGGCTCTCACATTCTCCTCTTCGTCAATTTGCTCCTGCTATTTCAAAGACAATTTTGAAACGAATTGAGAAGAAGGACATCTCGTGGGAAAAGTACAATGACCTGGAACCTGCTGATCTAGGTCAGCTCATTAATAACCCGCAGTATGGTAAGCAGCTCTATAAAATAATTCATCAGTTTCCTAAACTTGAGCTCTCAGCTCACGTACAGCCGATCACTCGCTCAATGCTGAAGGTGGACTTGGTTGTGACACCTGATTTTGAGTTTAACCGGGAGGTTCATGGTAATGCGGAAGGCTTTTGGGTGTTTGTTGAGGATGTGGACGGCGAGACTATACTTCACTACGAATGGTTGCTCATTAAGCGTCGCTTTGCCTCACAAGAAATGTATCTAAGTTTCACGATGCCGTTGTTCGAGCCCTTGGCACCGCTGTACTATATCAAGGTCATATCAGACAAGTGGATCCATTGCGAAAGCTCACTGCCGGTATCGTTTCACAAGCTCATTTTACCACAAAAAAACGCGCCCCCAACTGAACTGCTTGATCTTCAGCCTCTTTTTGTCAACAACATCCTTTTAAAGCTGGTCAGGGGCAACAAGACGACGGCAGAAGCTGTGCTAAAATCGCTATCGAACTCGCACAACGTTCCGAACCCTTGGCGGTTTAAACGTTTTAATCCAACGCAAACACAAGTATTGCCACGTTTACTAGAGTCCGAAAGCAATCTTTTCATTGGATCTCCACCAGGAAGTGGTAAGGGCGTGCTCGCAGAATTGGCTATAATGAAAACTCTGCTCTCTTTGGGCCAGCCTGACTCAAAGAGCGATGAGTTTGGTGATCACTTGATCGTGTACTTGACTCCTAAAGAGTCGATGTGTCACCAGAAGTTTGATGATTGGAATGCTAAGTTTGGGGAAGAAGGTTTTTGGCGACAAAATGTCGTGGAGCTCACAGGAGATTCTACCGCAGATTTGCGTTTACTAGCATGTGCAAATATTTTACTGGCGACACCTACGCAATGGGATGTTCTGTCTCGACGCTGGAAGCAGCGGAAACGCATTCAAAGCATCAGTCTGCTCCTTTTGGACGAGGCTCATTTTGTGGGTGGTGGGGAGTATGGTCCCACAATTGAAGTGGTGATGTCGAGAATGCGATTTATAGCAGCTGATATGGAGAAGAAAAAGACAGAAGCTGGTGAGCAGGGTAGGCGTATGCGGATTTTGGCTTTGAGCAACTCCTTAGCAAACGCTCGAGATGTTGGCGAGTGGCTTGGTGCAAGTGTGCCTGATGGCATTTTCAACTTCCATCCCAACGTTCGTCCACAGCCTTTAGAGATTCGCGTTCAGGGATTTGAAATTAACGACTTCTCGTCCCGTATGCTGGCGATGGCAAGACCATTATACAACACTATCGCGAACCAAGCAGAGAGGAAGCCTGTTGTAGTCTTTGTACCCTCTGCCAAGCAGGCCCAGTTAAGTGCGATTGACTTGATCACTTTCGCGCTGGCTGAGAATGATCCGCATAAATTTGTGACTCAATCAGTAAATGGTGCGGTTGAGTTGCCATCGGAAGACGCAGCTTTGCGGCATACCATGGAAAACGGCGTAGGATTTTGTGCTGATACAATTTCGTCCCGGAATCATGAGTATGTAATTGATTGCTTTGCGGCGGGCAAACTTCAGGTGCTGGTGGTCCCTCAGTCTCTGGCGTGGGAGCTCAGAAGCGTGCAGATAAGTGCGTTTATGGTGGTAATAATGGGCACGCAATACTATGACGGTCGAGAGCATCGGTATGTTGACTATCAGCTCGCTGATGTGTTTCACATGACGAAATTTGCAAATCATGCTTCCTCAGCTGCTGTCAAGTGCATATTGTTTTGTCATGCTACGAAGAAAAAGTTCTATGCTCAGTTTCTGTACGATCCGTTGCCTGCAGAGTCGCAACTTGAACACTTTTTATGCGATCACTTAAATGCTGAGATTGTGACAAAAACGATTGAAAGCAAGCAGGATGCAGTTGATTACCTCACGTGGACCTTCATGTATCGTCGCTTTATGAAAAATCCTAACTATTACAACCTGCAAGGCGCAACAAACGTACATTTGTCCGACCATTTATCTGAGCTCGTTGAGACAAGTATAAATGCTTTAGAGGAGTCACGTTGTATCCAAGTCGTGGATGGAGAAGAGGACGACGAAGGTGAAGGTGAGGAGCGTCTTGTGCCCTTGAACCTGGGCATGATTGCCGCTTATTATTATATCAAGTACACGACGATTGAACTATTTGCATGCAGCTTGAAGGCGGACTCAAAAATGCGCGCACTTCTGATAATACTATCGTCTGCTTCCGAGTTTAGCGACCTGCCTAGTCGACATGGTGAAGATAAGAAGCTAGAAACTCTTGCTAAGCATCTTAAGTTTCCAGTAGCCGCTGGTGGTGATTATGGACAAGCCCATGTAAAGACAAATGTATTGTTGCAAGTCCACTTTAGTAAGCAGCACGACCATTTGAGCCCTGCGCTACGCCAAGATCTAAATTTCATTCTGCGGCATGCCATTCGCCTACTGCACGCCATGGTTGATGTCATCAGCTCAAACGGCTGGCTCAAACCTGCGCTAGCAGCAATGGACCTTGCGCAGATGGTTGTGCAAGCCCAATGGAGTAGCGAGTCACCTTTGCTACAAATTCCATTCTTTACCAAGGAAACGCTCCGAAGTCTGGGTGAAATGCAACTGGAAGAGGAGGTGGAGACTCCTGTCGATATCTTAAGTATGGATGAAGATGCCCGCACCAAATTGTTGCCTCTAGACACACAGAAAATGTCAGTCGTTGCTAAGTTTTGTAACGCGTATCCGGATGTGACAGTGCAGGTGAAGGTGGAAAAAGACGGCGAAAATGTGCCGCAGGGCTCGACGGTGAGCATCATGGTGCAGCTTGATCGTGATGACGCCGCTGATGAGGAAAGTGACGAAGGCGATGCAGCTAAGGAGTTGGGTCTGGTAAATGCGTGCCATTACCCCGTAAAAAAAGCCGAAAATTGGTGGGTAGTGCTCGGCGACCCGAACAAAAATACGCTGCTGGGCATCAAACGAGTGCCTTTCGCGAGCTCTCGAGCCAATGTGTCACTTCAGTTTGCTGCTCCTCATGAAATTGGTGCCCATAATTTCCAGTTGTACGTAATCTGCGATGGCTACGCGGGTTGTGATCTGGAGAATGAGGTTAAAATTATTGTTGCTCGAGGTGAGGATACAGACGAAGAAGAAACTGACAAGGACAACTAGGCTGCATTCAAGTATAGTAACTTGACTTACAATTCATCCCTTCAAATCACCTGTCTAGTTAAAAATCGGGAGTGAAAAGTGCATCGACTTACGAAATAAACAATTCATTATCCTCTTCTTCTGTTTCACTGGCAAATTTTTGCCTCGTGAGGTGTGCTGCACGATCACTACGCGACTTAAGCTTGCGTGCAGCCTTCGCCGACGCATCATTAACGAGCTTTGCAGCCTTGATTACACTAGCACGCACTTGCTGTTTGCGAGTTGGGGGAAGAGGTGCTGTGACAGGGTCCATACTACAGCCGCCAGCAGTATCTTTAAACCTTGGTTGTGTTAAGATGTCGGATAAAGAGGTAAGTTCTTGATGCTGGCCATCCCATACGCTTTTAATTTCTTCGCAGACAAAACTATCTAGGTGGCTCTTTTCACTTTCAACGGTGGATGCAATTAAGCCCGAGCGCAATAGGCGAATCCCGCTGTTTAATTTGCTTTTTGCCTCCAGTAAGCGCTTCGTCATCATTGCTTGACTCTTAAAGCTCATGCTTAATCGATTATTTGTAGGCGTACCGTTTTTCATTCGTCGCCATCGACAAGTTACAAAAGGTTTCGCTTCCGACGCACGATGACAATGAAGCTCAGGTATGAAATCCTCGTCATCACTGGAAAAGTCACCGTTGTCTTCATGACCAACGCTTTCGTTTTGAAGCCTAGAAGTAACATGCGGTAGTGCAACTGGCATCCCAGCAGTCCTTACACATGAAAATGGACAGGTCCGAACATTCTGTCGTCTCCAATCTGCATTTATCGTTTCATGGGAAGACAGACTCGATTGTCGTGCTGAGACCTGGAAATCAGCTTCGTCATTGATATCGCTTGTATCGTTTGCTAGCTCAATGTATGTGTCACTTGACCCGACTGCACTATTGGTCGTATGCGGTTTTGCTAATGTTTTATTCACAGGTAATGAGATTTCAGTGTCAGACTGGCACGGTATCGGCTCTTCTGCCCCCCCCTCGTCACTCTTTACGGAAGCTTGTTCGTTTGCGACCTCCTTCGCTGCTATAACTCTCGCATTTATGCTTTCGAGCTCGTCCTTGGAGATCCATGAGTGGCTTTCAGGAGACAAATGTGATGCGCTGGCGAACGTTGCCGTCACTGAAGGACACGGCGACGCAGAATCGGAGCATGGTGAGATGAGGTTCCACTGTAAGCTGCAATTAGCACATGTATCAACCTGAATAGGCGGCAACATGAGCTGCAGTGCGCTAGCTTCCTGGCCTCTATCTTTCTCGCTCGTGCCATTCCACAAGAATTCTCGTGACAAGTCCTGCTGCGACTTCATTGAGAACGAAATGGCCAGTGACTCAGTTTCTTCATCAAAAGTGTCATAAAGAGGGTCCTTTTCGTCCATTTCAGCCTCACATCTGTCATCCCACCATTCCATAGCGTCCTCTTTCCCGACACAAAAGGTCATCTTATCCGTTGCCGTGATTGCTGCCAATTTGAGGGAATCGAAAGTGGCTCCTGATTGCAGCGCCAGATGGGAAGTCGTCTCGTCTATGCTGTTAACCTGATTGCTTGCCCTTTCCTTGCCAATCTGACCAGCCCCTGTGACAAATCCGCTACACCACGTGTATAGATTGGTCACGTACGATCCTGACTTTCGAATCAGTACTGGGATTTCTTACTGTACCCATCCGACTGGAGAATCCAAAGTAGTCGCCAGTTCTCAGTCTTAAAAAAACTCGACAGTCCACAAAAAGTCATTCGCGTTGGATTTGTTATCATGCCGTTGAGTTTGCAATCGTGCGACCAAACACAAACACAGACAGCACCGAAATGCTTGGCAGATAGGGCGAACGACCTACTGTTATGTGAAGCGGCAGACAAGTCTTTGTGATTTTTATCTACACAAGAGATTGACGTAAGAAAAGCTTACAAGCTGCTTTGAGAAAAATATACAACTTCATTGGCGAGCATTTGCTTGGTGCAAAAATTATTTTCCTTGTTACTAAGCGACTGCGTGCACAACTTTCTAAACAGCGCTTTTTGCCGCTTGGACCTCCTCAGCATCTTTATCACCCCGAAACGAGCAATTTTTGCTGTTGGTTATTGGGCTAATAATCTCGATAGAACAATTTCGTCGAGACGAAAGGACTTACCTTGATACCGTACTTGATCAGGAATGTGGGTATACTCGATAGTGTATCATTAACAGCGCTAACAAACAATGTCTTGTATTGTACACCGTCATTTGCGTGACGCAGCACTTCACGTTATTCCATTAAATACTTCGATTAATGCATCATTTTCTTGACCCTTCCCTGCTTTAGGACCTTTTCATAAAATGCCTGATAATTTACTTTTCAATGGGGACATTGACTCCGATTTTTTGGAGCAAAGCCGCTGTGTCTGGTGTAGCTATTTAACAGAAAGTAGTTAGATTTTACCAAGCAGAGAGATCATTTCGCGAACGTACCAGAAATTGGTATGTCAAAAGAAGAGTGTGAATTTTCGACTTCTAAGTGCTGCGCTCGACGTTGTCGCTTCAGTGAGGATCTTGCGCCATGGTTCAGGGATGGCGATGTCTGCTCACAGTTTTGAGGCAGAGCAGCATCTCTTGAGTACCCAAAAAATTGATCACGTTTGGTGATCTGCAAACAGACGAGGCAGGCATATGAAGACATTCGCGGCACATATATTCATGGACATCCTCACCTCAAATTCTAAACGGTCCTTGTCAAGTTTAACAGCTTGCTCTTGCAAAAGTTGACGTTCCTTCTCCAAATTTTGACGGATCAATGCTAGCTCATATTTTTCCTGTTTCACCTCTTCTTCAATAACTGCATCAGGGGAGCTTCTAATACTGCCTTCAAAGGTAGCATTCTTCAATTCAACCCATTTTGCCCCATATTGGATTTTTCCGTCGCAAACTTTAGTATTCGGAGCGTGCGGTATCAAAGATGCTTGCAGTAGCTGATCTTGATCGTTAATAATGCTGTGTGCGTCGTCCAGCTTTTCTTGTAATCGTTTTATAACCTCTTTGTCGTTCTTTGCCTCGGCATATGGCACTTCATTACGAATAACGTGTTCTAGCTGCTTCAGCTTTTCCTGCAAGACCTCCATCGCTGCGAAAATATAGCCAGGGATACTATTTTTCGTAGCCATATTAAATGGCGTCGGAACAAAGTCATCAATTGGAGAACTGGCTAGTTTGTTGAGCTCTTCAGCATCAGCAACAAAATTTTTTCTGAACACAAATTCGAATCAATGTGAGAGAATGTACACAACGATACAGACAGCAGCACAAAGCAGGATTATCAGCTTACTGAGCAAGAAAAAGTCTGACAGCTTTCTTATACTGCGACGTCAATGATGCCAAATGGTTCTGCACTGTATCATAGCTTTTTGCCAGAGCTTCGTAGTCCAGCAAAAGCTCAGCTTTCTTTCGCTCGAGATTATCTAAAATTTGGCATGTAAGCATGCTTTCCTTAGATAAATTAGCGCTTGAAGCTTTCTTCAGCTCGCGGGCTCCATTAAGCACCTTTGTTATTGCTATACCCTAAAAACAATGGTCGTCGTTTGTCAACTCCAACATCACAAATGATATTAACATTTACGCACCTGTTTCTCTTTAGCAGCACGCACAATAACGTCCTCCAGTTTTTTTCTGAGCCGCGAATATTCCACGTCTTTTCTTTTAAGGTGCGCTTTAAATGCTGTCTCTACGCCCTGCAACCTGCATTTATTAGCCTTATCAGTGGTTCCATCGTCTACATTCGATATTAAAACTGTACCGTGCGCAGCTCATTTCTAGTGTTTTCTTCGTTGTCTGCAACGATTTTCTCTCAGCAATAAAATCTTGTTCTTTTGCCCTGTATGAATTTTCTCTCAAAGCCAGATCTCGTTTAATAGTCTTAAGATCTGCAGTCAGCGCCTGGACAATATTGTTTTTTCTCTCCAGTAATTTCTCAGCTCTGCTTAAATTCTCACTCAATTGGTTTTGATGGTCCAGCTCGCGATTCAACACATAAAGAAGATAACTCACCAAGTCCATAAGTTCTCTAACTTCACATTCAGCCTTTATCTGCTCCTCTGTCTGTTGCATTGCTTCCACAGCCGTAAGACTCCGTACCTCGGTTAAATCGAGTGTACAAACTTTCTCGATATCATCTTTTGCATCATTCGCCCTCGTAAGATACCGTCTTGTGTCATTCTCTGGACCATGATAGCGTGGTCCAAACATTGAAGATAAAGCCATCACGTGCTGCAGTTGCTCATTGAGATATGTCTGAATTTCCATCAGCGTTTGATTTCTTGGAAGACGCCACGGACTAGCAACGGTCGAAGGTAATGTCAAATTGTTTTGAGGACTTGCGTTTGCACTGGACTCATCGGTAATCTTCATATCATTCTCGACTGTAGTATCTTCGGCGCATGGACGTTTGGTCTGGTGAAACAAAGAGCTTAAGTCAACAGAGTACCCTTTGTCGCGAAAATTTTCACGTGCTTCGTTCATGCTTTATGTTGTCCAAATGAAAAATTTACGTACCGTACTTAAGAGTCACTAAACACAAAAGCTTAAGTACGCACATGATGAAGTAGGTGACTGGATAGGAGATGGAGACGTTTCTCCACCAGCACCAGGCGCAGCTGGTGGCGGCGCAAGTTCCCGAGCGTCTATGGCCAATGGCATACTACAAACTGAAGTAAGGTGGTTTGTGCAATTTCACTCAACTAATTTTAGTGACAGCGTGTTGTTTGGTAACATGGCGTCAGACACGAAGTATTCGATGCGGGTGATTTTTTTTATCTAGCTCGAGATTTGGATGGAGAATTTCGCGCTGTTGTGCGGGATGATGTGGACTTGGCGCGAATGCAACCTGATTCAGATGAAGCGATTTTTCTGGTTGACCACGCTTGGACGTTCACAGCTGACAAGATACGCGAGCAGCTGACAGCTGTGCCAAAGCTGCTGGACCGCATGGAGAAAATGATGCAATTAAAAGGACTAGATAAAAATGAGCGTGTGGATGCTGTTGCTGATCGCGTGTGGCGTAACGCCAACACGTACCGTCTTGGCAACGCGAAACCTGAGGACGCGTCTTCGATCTGGTACGTCATGGATGAAGTTGGAAATGCCATTGAGCATAATAATGTGCCAAACGTTCGTATGGTTCCGTTTTATTTTGGTCCATCTCAATGCGCTTTTTCGCTCGTATGGACTGTAAACTATATCAAAAGCGGGGACTTTTTATCGCGGGATTACTTTCCAGAGTTCGCATCGGATGTCGTAATGCACACTGCACTTCTTACTGCCTTGTTCTATGAGCCCGGAACCGTTGACAGTCCGCATCTAATTGAACTTGAAAAAAGTATTGCTGCACGCAAGAAGCAAGATACACTAGAAAACGCCCGTGCAAGATTTTACAACAGCGTCAGCCGTGACTCAGAGACGCCCCCATATCCTGAGACGCCCGTTGCATCGGTATTGCTTTCCACCATCGTGACAAAATCGGGCCCGCTTCGTATATGTTCCGGTTAGTTGTATTGGTCTGCTTTATCTACCCTCTTTCCGCGATTGACATCATCACACTACAGATTCAAAGTTAATGCACACGCACTTGACTCACCCACACTTTACGCTCGTGGATAATGAAGACGAGGCCCAAGTTGTGTGGCTGACTCGTCATTTGAAAGATTTTCCCAAATATACCACCAATGACAACGTGCAGATCATCAACCAGTTTCCAAACGAAAAAATTCTTACTTGCAAGGACCTGCTTTATGAAGTATGCAAGCTGTACGTAAGTCGTGATATTGTGCCATCCTTTTTGCCTTGTCAACATCATGTCACTTGTTGTCCAGGCAAAACGGTGGTGTGCGGCCTAACTGGCTCGCTGAGACTTACAACATGACCAGTGAGCTCCCCGAGCTTATCAGCCAATTTATTCAACGAGACCTTGTCGCTCGCAGAAATGGTAACGGTTATGACGAAGCAAATTATTGGATTTGCAAACCCTGGAACATGGCGCGCTCAATAGACACGTGCATTGCGCAGAATGCGCCACACATAGCGCGTCTGGCTGAAACTGGACCTAAGATTGCGTGCAAGTACATTCATCGTCCGTTATTGATTGACCAGCGCAAGTTTGACATTCGGTTTCTTGTGATGGTCAAGTCAACGGAGCCGTTAGAGCTCTACTTGAGTGGTGTGTACTGGCTGCGTATTGCAAACAAAGAGTTTACTATGGACAACTTTCATGACTTTGAAAAGCATTTTACTGTCATGAACTACTCTGACTTTGCTGTTCGAATCATGGACAATTCTGAATTTATCGAGAGGTTCGAATCTGAGTACCCGAGCGAGAACTGGGCTACTATGTTTATTGATATCTGTACCAGTATTAAGCAGATGTTTGAGTTCGCCACAGCTCAGCCTCCTCCACTTGGGCTCGGTCGCTGTACAAAGTCGCGTGCGCTTTACGGTGTAGATATAATGCTCTCTTGGGAAGCTGATGAAGAGACTGGTAGTGAGCGTTTGCGACCAATTATTTTGGAAACAAATTTTCAGCCAGATTGCACACGTGCTTGCAAATACTTTCCGCATTTTTATAACGATCTCATGAACGTTCTGCTGCTTGACCGTCCCGACGAGACTGTGCATGGCTGCACACGTCTTTAATATATATATACTCTCTCAAGATTTGACTCGTTTTACTTTGGATTATACCACAATACATGTAATTGCTGACTCGCTGAACAGTTTTATACACATTTTTAGCGTGTAGTCTATAATCGCCCTGAATAGAATTTCGTCATTTTTAGTTATGGACGCCCACATTCTGCGGTACGGCCAAAAGGTGAGGCTAGCGACTTATTCTGCTTACATAGAAGACAATACGGTCGCTGTATTGGATTCAGGTATTGGCTTTTACGAAAAAAATGGACGTCACGGTATCTTGAGTTGCGTGCCACCGCTTGGCCCCAAACTTCAGCAGCTTTTCACAGAGGATGAGTTTCTTGTGTTACATCCGAGTGATCAACGATCTCACGGGGAAAATGTTCTTTACGGAGAGCCATTGGTTCTTGTGAATCAACACGGCATGGTTTGGAACAATAAGACGGGTGGCATTACGGGCTATGTGGGGCCGAGACCGCGCGGTGTACCTGGCGAAATTTTTGTCTGTTTTACGAAGGTACCAGAGGGTGTCGGAGTGATTAAAAGTAGCAAAAAGGACAAAGTAAACAAGGTAGAAAGATCAACAATCAGAGCGTCCTTTTCGGCATCGTCAACATCGGACAAATTGTCAATGTCGGAGTATCCCGAGACAGAGTCGAGCCCAGTGTACTTTGGTGATACAAACGTAGCTATTACGGTAGTCGAGTCGAATCGCCACTCACAAATGTTCAACAAAAGGCTTAGCAATTTTAAGAAGCCTACTAGTCGAATTGTCGGGGGTTACATTTGCTGCGATGGCAGAGGCACAGAACTGAGGTTCTCCATTTGGCCAACAAAACCCAAAATTGAGCAAATTTCTATGCTCAATAAGCTTATTACGTCTTATCAATACGGACAGAAGATTGCTTTGCCTTCTGCATTGCTGATGAGCATGGCAAAAAGGACGGATGACGCAAATGTCGGTATCAAAAAAATGGCAGACATTTTATTTCGTTTGTCGAATGGAGCGGAAGCAATGCTTTCTGGTGCGGTTTTGCACTCAAAAGTACAGCAGCATGCCAAGCCTCTTAGATCAAATCAAGATGAACATGAGTCAGTTTTTGAATTGCCACTACGGAATGGACCTGGCATGCTCGTCGTCCAACTTACGGGAACTGCGCCGCTAACAGTGACCGAAAGTTTTACTGCAACAAATGAAAGTCATCGCTTGGTCCCGAAGGTCAAGAGCAGTACGGTGCTATTCTACCGTGTGTCCGACGTTCTGCGGAGGGTGCCCGTTTCTATCTTTGCAATCTCTTACGCAGTGCTAACTCACTATCTATGGGGTGCTCTTAGCACAATGGAAGACGGTTTCTGTCGTGAGCTCGTTGTGTTTGTGTTGGTGATTCTTCCTGCTTTATATGCCGCAGTGAAGATGGATCACCCTTTCTCGGCGCTCTTTCAGCCACCAGTCCATGAACCAGAAGTTGTTAATGACAATGACTATTCAAGCCCTACTACCAACGGGACATTAAAGCTTATTGTGACTGAGTACCGCTTCGTTTCAGGTCCATTGAAAGGAAGCTGCACCAATGGAAGAATTAGCCGGTTGAGTCTTTCGAATGTAACAACATCAACGAACGAACACTCCATTACTGCCTTAGAAGCCACGGGTTCAGTCCCGATGCGGTTTATACTTGCTGAAAAGGGAGACGAAGCAAAAGCGTTGGAGCGATACAACGAGACCACGGAGTGGCGACGCGCTCAAGGTGTGGACTTATTGCTTGAGAAGCCTAGTCCTCATTTCAACATCATCAAAGAGAATTATCCTCACTACTACCACAAACGCGGCAAGAAAGGTGAGCCTGTGTACTATGAAAAGCCAGGAATGATCAACTTAAACGCTTTGAAGAATGCTGGTCTCACACTAGACGATCTCATGCATAACTACCTCGTGATCACGGAGTTTTTGTGGCAAGTAATTGAGCAGGATGATAACTGTAAGGGAATTTCAGTTTTGGATGTAGAAGGAATCGGTATCTCAGACTTTGCGGGCGAAGCCGTTGAATACGTTCGTAAGGCTGCTTCGGTGTCGAGTAGGCATTACCCAGAACGGTGCGCGTACATTTACGTGATTAATGTGCCGTCATGGTTTAGTGTGATTTGGAATACAGTTAAAGGGATGGTAGACGACGTGACTCGTGAGAAGGTGATTATTGTGCGCGGAAAGAAGAAAATTCTCGAGGCTCTGTCCGAACGCATTCCGGTGGAGAATATTCCTGTTGAATATGGTGGAACGAGCAATGGCACGTCTGAAGAGGAGGATCTGCTGTTTAAACTTATGGCGCACGTGAATAGTGTGGAAGGAACTTCCGATACTAACCCCATCGAAGACATTCTGAAACGAAAGCCGATTAAGCATTGACTTCATAGCTCGCTCAGGATAGACCTTGTCTCTCATTCTCAAATAAATTTGAAATTGTGGCATTCGATGGCGTGTATGCTTATGTGCTACTTAAAAGTGTTGTTACGAAAGTCAGAGCATCATAGCAACGATAGTCGCGGATACTAATTATGTAAGCGCTTACGTGTTAGTGGCAGGGTTCATTCCTGTATTTTGTGTGATGCAGAACGTAAATTTCAGCTTGCTTCGCTATCGCTGTGCTTGAATGACGGGTAGTCGACTCCATTTATAATGATTTCTTATCCTGCATCAAAAGTTACAAAGCGATGAATGCCTCGAAAACTCATTGACGACTCCATTAGTCAAAATGAAATTAAAGAATTTATTAGCATAAAACATTCAGCAAAATTATGCTACGAATCAAATTTGACACGGAGATATATATCTAGAGAGCATCAATTCTAAGAGTCTATATTTATACTAGCAGATCCGAAAATTTGAAAATTACAAATAGATTAAATCAGGGCATCCAGCTTCTTTGAAATATAGCAAAGGAGTCAATGCGTGCCGAAAAATCCACTGCGTTTCTGGGGGCAAAATAGATGCGAAGACCCCAACGAAGATGCATCGTGAACGACTGAAAATCCGTTTAAAGTGCGCCGCGATTGTGGCAAGGGAAAGGCTACATACCACGCAAAGACGTCAGTGCGGGTGGGCGCTCATGATACGTGCCATGACCAATCAAACGCCAAAGGATTTGCAGCTAAGACATGGGTCATTGACAGAGCACATGTAAGGACCGAAAAGCATTTATTAACTACACAAACAAAGATAACGCGACGACAATCCATGCGCCAAAATTGGCGCAAGGACAAAGATTCTCTGTTTCGGAATGAACGGCGAACATGTAGCTTGATGCACATTCGAAAAATATTCTACACGCTGAAGACCTGACCAAGTATTTGAACTCACTCGCAACTGCGGTGGCGCGTAGAATAGCGGTACAGTCAAATCAAAATGATCATGAATGTCTGTATTGATTTGCGAGAAACAAGTTTGGTGACATATCTAAGCACAGACCGGGCGATGAGTGTCATTCAGCGGATATGATGTAGAGCTAGATTTCGTACCGAAAAAGGTGCAGGCAATCCAAGAGTGACCGGCACCGACGAGTACGAAAGAATTGCAGAGGTTATTGGGACTCGCGGACTATCATCGACGGTTCATCCCTTCCTACGCAGATATTGTGTCTTCTTTGCCGAGTACGACTTTGAGCTGAGACAAGAAATCAATTTGCATCCATATGGAGAAGTTCAAACACACACTCAACTCGGTGTCGAGGAGAGACATGAGCTTGATATATGGAGTGCAGAGCCTACCAAAGTAGAAAGGATACGAAAAAACAAAGAAGAGAAGAGAATGGTGCTCAAGGCGAACAAACGTCCCGCAGAGTTGGAGAAGGGCACGAGAGAGAAGTTTGAGCGAGCATACAAGAAAAACGAGTTCTATACCAAGATAATGGAAGGCAGAGGAGACACGACCATCTTCACAGTAAAAGATGGACTGATTTTCCGCATCTCAACCAGGTGAGCCCGCTGTGTGTGCCCGAAAGTCGAGAGCTGAAGCTGGCAATACTGACCAACCATTACGACGACCTGACAGCAGCGCACACAGGCATCGAGCGAACCGCCAACGCTGTCAAGATGTGGTTCTGGTGGAAGAGCATGCTTGAAGACATCAAGTCGTATGTGCGAACGTGCAAGACGTGCATGCGGTACAAGACTCCGAGCCAGAAGAAGCAAGGAATGATGCAACCGATCGCGATTTCAGAAGGGTTTTGGGATTCGGTCAGCATGGACTTCATCACCGGACTCCCAGAGTCCGAGGGATGCGACTCGATACTTGTAGTGGTTTGTAGACTATCCAAGAAAGCTGTTTACATTCCGACCAAGCAGACATTAACAGCTCACGAAACGGCCAAACTGTTTTTCAGTCATATGGTGAGATACTTTGGACTGCCGAAGCAGATCATCTCGGATAGAGACCCAAATTTCGTATTAACATTCTGGAGAGGACTCATGGAAAGGATAGGCGTCAAACTATCGATGACAGTGGCTCACCGAGCACAAGCTGACGGGCAAACGGAGAGACAGAATCGAACGCTGGAAGGCTCCCTGCGTTGTCTCGTGTCGTATCATGGCGAAGATCGGAAGTGGTTGGCGACCATAGAGTATGCACACGCAACTCTGACATCGTCATCCAGCGGGTTCAGTCCCTTCAAAGTGGATGCGGGACGAACACCATGAAGTCTGATGGGCATTTTGGAGATTGCAAACGAGCTGGCAAACAGATTCACAACAAGGAGGCAAGACGGCATCGAATTGGCGCAGCGATCACTCCAAGCAGCTTAGGAGCAGCAGAAACGATACTACGATCGCAAGCGACGCAACGAGAGCTTCGAGGTTGGACAATAGGTACTGCTCAACCCGAAGAACATCACCATTCATTACGCTGTACGAGATCAAGACAACAGCAGCAATAAACGTTTAGCCAGATTCATTGGACCGTTCAAAATTCTCGAGAAGCTGTCGGACCTGGTGTATCGATTGGAGTTGCCAGAATCCATGCGATTCATGAACAAAGTGTTCAGCGTGGAGCAACTGAAGAAGTGTCCAGCCAACTCAAGCGCATTCGAAGGAAGACCGCAGCAAAAGAGCACACCTGTTGTGGTGCAGCAAAACAAACCTACGTACGTCATCGAAGCCCTACGGAAGATGGATACAGTCAAAGGGAGACGACAGTTTCTCGTGAAATAGGCAGGCTATCCAGAAGACGAGGACACGTGGGAGAGCGAGTAAATCTTTTCCATGTGTCACATTGGAAGTCGTTGTTGAAGGACTTGGAGGCAAGGACTCAACAACTAAGGCGGGAGAATGTAACCAATCAACCGTGCGTAGATTAACGTGTACGAAGCATCCAAGGAGATTTTAAAATATGCAAGAAAAAAGATTATCGAAACAAGAAGGACAGTAAACAGTCCGAGGCATTCCAGAACACACTCGTTGGATAGGAACAAATGCATATTAGCCAATAGTATTGCATATTACGTACACGTAGCATTAGAAGTTCTCTGAACCAGGATTCTAACGCTAAAACAAAGATCACTTTTGAGCTTGCCGCCTAGTGTTCAGGTGACATACACTATCAAAAGTACGTATCAGATTTCTAGCTATTTGAAATTGTACTTACACCTTGCCCTTCTGTACGTTGCACAATTTTACATAATGCACAGAACGCCTTTGTATAATGGCGGACACTGTAAAGAAGAGGTCTGTGAAGTGATAGGACTGGTAGCTTCATACCAAGTATACTTATTGGATATATTTTAACGTATATATTCAGCCTAATTGAGATAGAGCTTATTCAAAGTATGTCCTATTGTTTAAGCAGTAAAGCAAATTAAGTTTATTTACTTAAGGCCTTTGGTAACCCACCCGGGCGAAGCGAAAAAACAAAAATTCTGTGCGTTATTTACGCAGACTATACAGTCAACGCTTTATCAGTGTCAGGTACGCACCACCTGTAAGATCTTCTGGTTCATCACATTACTGAGTCGTAAGAAGTATATACGTTCAAAGGGTGGACCATGTGATGCTTGACTATATCTTTCGGGACCATCAGAACTACTTGGTAAGGTTGTGTTTGTTGTTGATCTCGAAGTGATAAAAATGTTTTCAAAGGACAAGAAGCGAGACTCACTCGCACGGAGGCGCTCACCAGCTATGTGAACGCGGTGAAGAGACACCGCCAAGAGCACCCCAACTGGCCACTGGTAGGAGCACAGCTGGCACCAGGATAGAAAAAACCGATCACCCTAAGCAAGGGTACCTGATAGACCTGAAAAAATTTCATTTGGCCATACTACAAAATGAATCAACAGCGCGTCACACTCGTGGTCCCTATAGTAGTAGTCTCCATCCAAGAATGAGTACGAACATGAAGTACCACAATAAAAAAGACCTTCTTACCATCGATTTTGAAGCGGTAGCGTCGCGGGTATTCACACCGCTTGACTTGTGATAATAGGTGCATTTGTATTTATTAAAATCCGTCAAGAGAGTCGAGAACTGGTAGATTATTTCCATGAATGAATGACACTTATCACCGCAATGTCGTCAGACCTTCTTCCGGAGGCGTAAACAGATACCAATTTTATGGATGGCCCTCGAATGAGCGGGGCTTACATCGCATCGGGACCTTTCACGTCCACCCCTACCACTTTCGACAAAGCGATGAATGCTGCAGTGTGAGTCGGGCACAATTTTTTGTCAGTAAAGCCAGAGGGTCTAGTGTTAGTGGGAGCTCGCGCCAGAGGGGATCGACTCGACTATTCTGAGGAGGAAAAGAGAAGGTTTCTGGTTGCCAAGCATGTAACGGGGTTGCACGTACCCTGGTATACAGGGGTGGGTCACACAAGATGGTGTGACTGTAGAAAGATGTGGATTGCACAAGTTGGTGTAATCACACAATGGTGTGGCTACAGCGGAACAAGAAGCCACTACAAGGCGGATCTACCAGTAGTTATGCATATTGATTAGGTTTTACTATGTAAGTAGGAATTCCTAAGCTTTTGAATAAAGGCGGCCCGGACGCAAAAAAAACAAAAAATACAGTTTCAATTTTGAACGGAAGAGCTTATTTGCCTTGGTCAAGGTCGTAGGAACTCTTGAAGGTAGCGGATTGCGATCCGCTACACTCGTACTGTTTCTTGTAAAAAACGTTAGGTTGGTGACCTTAGCTTAGCTTCCTCTAAGCAAAGAGCTACAGCAGTCCGCTGCACTTACTAGCACTTGTTGGTCAATCTACGCCTAGGTCGTTACGACTGATCCTCTGTGAGGATAAATTAATTCCTCTATTTGCCCCAGGGTATGGATCGGCTTAAAAAGCTGATGTCCCTGCTTGGCCCTGAGGGCGTGTAACACATTGCTTCGCAAGGAATCGAAGCGATTAGCGCGCGCCAAGAGGTGTATTTGAACTATGAAAATGCTCTACTAGAGCAATTAGAGAAAAAGATGTCCGCATCGACTGCGTCCATGAAGCTACCGTCGCCAACGGATGACCCCTCCAAACCCAGGCCGCTCATCGTGAGTGTTAAGACCTTTGAGGATAAGAATAGAGAGAAACTCCTGCTCTGGATAAGAGAGACCGAGATGGCTATGTCATCCGCCATGCTTCAGAACGAACAAAGCGCATTGCGCTAGCTATCTCCAAGCTCGGGCGCCGAGTGCGAGAATGGGCACTGACGTGCGGTACTTCGTTAGAAGCGGCGATTCCATCCTGGAAGGAGCTGAAGCGTCAGCTTTTGCGAGTATTCTCCTCGACTAACCAGTCATATCGAGTGTGATCGTGATTCCTTGCCGCCCGACAGGCAAGAAGAAGTTGGTGGACTTTGTCCAAGCGTTGAGAACTCTCATTGCCGGATGGCAGCCGATCTTTTCTCCGACGCGGTCGCTGTGACCGTCTTATAGAGGCCCTTTGCACTGGCGTGACCAGAATGGAAGTCTTCCGTGTGCAACCGTCTTCTTTTGAAGAAGCGGTGAATGTGGCATTGAATGCCGAATTCAACTTTTAGTCGGCATGGCTTGGTTAGAATGCACACCCTCAAGGCACGTCGAGCGGGCCTGAGTCAATAATTCTCAGATATGCTGAGAAAGAGAAAGGGGAGCTCCGAGCTGTCAAGCAGCATTTCAACACCCGACGGTGTATTGTCTTGGAGACACCCGTCACCTTCGGACTGGTTGTCCCCTGCGCAGGGCGCGTAATGGTTGATCGAACCGAGGTTCCCTTCTGACCAGTCTTTTTTGTCGCGGGGAAACGAGAAAACCCAGGTGCCCTATTGGGAAAGAACTAAGCTTTGTTGATCCTTAAAGAGGTGGTGGTCATTAGAGCCCAGCTCCAAAGAGCCCCATATCTTAAACACGGACCGTAAATGCAAGCCAGGCTTGCTGGTCGTAAAAGTGACCGTTAAGGACTTTGAGAAGCCATGAAAGATCCTGATCGATTCCAAGGCGTCGTGCAATTATGCTCGACGCTCCACGATTGAAGGAACTCAGATGTATGCTGAGTCGCTGGAAGCGCGGGTGAGCGATATTGTCACTGTTCGCGTAGCGGCGGGGACTTGTGTCACTGTGCCGAGGGTTCCTGTGAGTTTCTTGACTTCGATAGCGTATAGCCTTGCTTAGTCTTAGACTTAAATGCAAGGTATGACCTTATCCTTGGTATGGCACGGTTGGAACAGCAGGAGGCATGTATTGATTGGAGGTCAAAGACCTTGGGCGCTACGCGCACGTCTTCTGTTGAAGCTTTGGCGAGTCATGAACCCACCTCTACCAGGAGACAAAAGCGCTATTGGCAAGAGCACTGGCCCGAGACGGTCAACGTGCTAGACATTGGAATGTCCGAGTTCGTAGACACTAACGGTGCACTGGACAGAAATTTCCGAGCCTGTCTCGCGGGCTGATTTTAGAGTGGCACGTAACCCACTGAGCGATGCTCAAGTTTCGGAGCCGCTCCTGCATGGACCAATACTGGCACTGCAAAAACCCGATCGTTCTTTCAGCGTCGTCTTTGACGCTTCAGACTTTGCCATCGGCTGTGCACTGATGCAAGCAGACGCCTGAGGGGTGAGATCGGGTAATCGCGTTCGAATCTCGACAGCTCAAAGCTGTGGAGAAGAACTACCAAGATCATGAATAGGAGCTACTTGTGATGAAGTATGCACTTGTCAAGTTCAGGGTCCACCTGCTCGGCTCCAAGCCGTTTGTGATCTACACAGATCATGCGTCGTTACGCACTGCAAGTCAGTTGCTCCACCTCTCGCAGAGGATGTCGAGATGGCTATCCTTGGAATATAAATTCGAGGTGAAGTATTAGCCGGGGAAGCAGAATGCTTTGGCTGATGCGTTGTCACGCAGACTAGACTATGAGCTTGCTCATG